CTTCTAAAATTGCTGACTATGTGTACACACCCTCTCTCCAGCTTGATTCTTAGTTCCAAGAAGGTAGAGCCTTGTCTTGATTGTCTTTGCAGACCTCAGACTCAGAAAAATAATGTACCTACAGAAGAACTCCATGACATTTAGTGTTTTATAGGAATCCAAACCTAAACTCATCTGGAAGGAAGTAAAAGAATACCTGTTGAGTATCCTCCATCAGCCACAAGACGTGAAGAATGTTTCCTTATTACATGTATCCTCCGGAACACAACTGACTTTTTACTGATGAGGAAACTGGGGCTCAGCAAAGTCAAGGTTCACAGTGGTGAAAGGATTTCAATCCAGGTCTGTCTTAAATCTCAGAGATGTTGGGGAACTCAGTAGCTGAATTCACACCTTGAGAAGTGTGAAAGTGAAGTGTTGGAGGCTGGAGAAAGTCATATGTGTATTACAGAGCTCTTCTAGAATGCTGGTGTGTTCCAGAGGCTTTATAATGATCCACCCTCCCTACTCCCCATCCTCTCTGAAATGTGAGTTACTTGATTAGAAGATATAACTAATATACATGAATGAGACTCTACTAGGAGCAATAGTGGTAGAGAGGTATGTGACTTTGAATACACTGTATTTAAACATGTTTTCATTAAAATGAAAATAATCTACATAAGAACAATGGATGGTTGTTCCAGAATAAGAAAGAGAACAGTGAAGAACAAATCTGAATGGATAAATCTGTAGGTTACAGAAAGGAAATTTGATTTGTCTTGGATTATAGTACATGCAAACAATAAGTCTGAAAATAAGCAATCAAATGTGTTAAAATTTTGCCAAAGCTGGCAAAATCTTGAGTTTGTGAATATTTAGTTTAAAAAGAGGGAGAGCTCCTGGAAAATCACAAAGATTTGTCCTTTCATTTTTTAAAAACAGAGGTACTAGAAATAATTTGATTTATTTAATATGTTACTATTGCTTGGAAATAATTGTCAAGTCAGAAGACATACTCAGCCTTCTCTAGGTTAAATTTATATTAGTAAATTATTATTATTTATCTAAATATTTGAGAAATGATATGCTGTAAGAGAAATTCTGCTGATTTCCCAATGCCGTCTCTGTACATTACATGTTTCTATTTATCAGCACCCTTATGGTGCCTTCCCTGATAACAACGGTATATGTGTTACTAGTCACGAATTCAGTTATTATTTAAAATGTTACTAGAGGCTGGGCACTGTGGCTAATGCCTGCAATTCTAGTGCTTTGGGAGGATGAGGTGGGAGGATGAAGTAGGAGGATCACGTTAGGCCAGAAGTTTGAGACCAGCCTGGGCAACACAGCAAAAGCCTGTCTTTACAAAAATTTAAAACTTAGCCGGGCGTGGTGGTGCATGCCTGTAGTCCCAGCTACTCAGTAGGCTGAGGAAAGTGGCTCCCTTGAGCCCAGGAGTTTGAGGCTGCAGTGAGCTATGATTGTACCACTGCACTACAATCTGGGTGACAGAGCAAGACCCTGTTTCAAAAAAATAAAGTAAAATAAAAATGTTACCAGGCTGCAACTTTCCTTAATTTAAATCTAGCATCTTCCAGGCCACTAGTTTTCAACTGGACATGTACATCAGCCTTTCCTATGACATTTTATTAAAATACAGATGTTTAGGACTTACGTCAAACTTGCTGAATATCTTCAGTTGATATTCTTGGCATATTATGTAAATTGTATCTCAAAATTTTTATATATCTTAAGATTTCGATCTGTAAAAATTATGTTTATTTCTATAAATATAATGTTCATTGTGTTCTTTGAAATCAGCAGTTTTTAGACATTGTCTAGAATTGTTTTTGTTTGGATTAGCATCTTTTTGTTTTACATATCACAGAAGCAAACAAATTTCCTTGTCAGTTGCATTATTCTTGTCATGAATTCTCATCAGATCATTCATTCTTGAAAATTATCAGTAATAAGTTAATCAGCACTTTTTAACTCTGTCACCTTCAGATAGTTTTTATTTTACTCTGATGCTTCTTAAAGACTCTGTAATAAGTTACAGAATAGAGTGGGAGTTTTTTATTTTTTAAGAAATGGGATCTTGCCGTGTTGCCCAGACTGAAGTGCAATGGTTATTCACAGCATGATCATGTGCACTATAGTCCCACACTATTGGGCTCAAGGGATCCTCCCACCTCAGCCTCTTGAGTAGCTAGGACTGTAAGCACGCCACTGGGCCTGGAAGGCCAAGCGTTTGTCTCTTTAACAACCAAGACCTGTCTCAGAAAAGCACCGTACTAAGTAATTGCTCTTGGGTATAGGCTTCTGATGGTACCACTTGGACAACATTAAGAATGTACTAGTGGACTGAGTCAGGAGTTCCAGAACTCTTTAGTCAAGAGGCAGACGGGTTTTTGAGATTGCTAATCCAAGATTCAGCGGGACAGAATTAATCACACGTGAACTGGTGATGGAAAACTGTCTTCTCTGTTCAGAATATTGGTGATGTTGCTATAGTGTTCTATTTTCTGGATATGTAAGGAAGACCTTTCTTTTTCTTCTTGGGCTGTATTAATTAATCTGTAACAATTTAGTAGATTCTGCTTTTGTAAACTGAAATGAAACACTTAAAAATGTCTTTTTCTCCCTACCTGACTCCTGAGAATTCAGAAACTCTTATGGAACCTTCTTGCTTTTCATGGCAATATGGTTACTTGCATAGGTTCAGTCAGAATCTGTTTTTTGTTGTTGTTGTTGTTGTTTTACCAGTACATAATTAGAAAATCGGTTATGCAACCAAGACCTTGCCTGGGTGTTGCATTTGATAAGGATGCCTATTTAATCAGATACAACCAGACTCCTTCAGAAACTGAGGTTCACTCTATGGAGCCAATACTAAGAAAACCCTCCCAGGAAAACAGGCTTACTGAGTTTCCAGGTTTACAGGCCAAAAGGAACGTGCTCCCTGGCTAGCCCAGAAACTTTAGGATATTTTGGGGTCTCTGAGAAGAGGAATTTGCCCAAATATATTAGTACAGTAGGTTAAACCTGGTGGAGACAGTTTCTTAGCTTACTGTCAGGACAATAAACAATTAAAGACTTCAAAAAATCTAATCTAGGATCCCTTATGAAAACTTCCAGCAAAGTTTATTAATTTAACAAGAGCCATATGGTAAAATGGTAAATTAACACTCTTGTAGTACCTATATACACAATCCAGTCAAATCCAAAGAGACCAGCTGTATTTTGTGATCAAGAATAATCTTTCTAAGAAACTTTAAAAAATTAAAATAGGAGCGAGTATAGAAAAAAATGTATTTCTGTGGAAAACTATGCCTTTTCTAGAGTATAGTCCTCCAGGTTATCAGATTCTAGCTTTTAATTGACCTTGAGCTATTTTAAAATTCTTTGAAGTGGTAGGTAACTGAGAAGTCATTACAAAATATACGTACAAAGTTAATTTCAGCAGTCTTCCCTCGCAACCTGTGGAAAACCAGCTTGGTTTCAATATTCCTGATCTATAAATGAACATGTTCTTTAGATTCTCTTTTTAAAATTGTGTAAAATATACATAACATAAATTTTGCCATTCTAACCATTTTTACTGTACATTTAAGTGGCATTAAGTATATTCACATTGTCTCTCAACTGTGACTTTTTCATATTCCCAAACCAAAACTCCATACCCATTAAACAATAATTCCCCAATCCCCCTCTCTAGATTCTCTTTTGAACCTATTATAATATCTTCTGGACCTTTATTATGAGTAAAATAAAATCTTTAACATATGTTCATTTTTATATCTTTGTGAGAATCAGGATTTTAATCTTTTTCTGAAAAATATCTTTTAACAGTCTCCAACTCAAAAAAGTCTAGGTAAATACTCTCAGTGAGTGAAGAAGTTTAGAATTGATGAGAGCTCCCAACAATTAAAAAGCGTGTAGGGTAGCCAATTGTCTTGCTTTGCCCAGGATTGAGAGGGTTGGGAATGAAAGACTGTTTCAAAATTAGGGACAAATTGGCCACTTTAACAGCATCTGCCCTATCTAAAGGGGACTCCTCAATCTTATTCATTTAATTTGGAAATTTAGGCCCAGTATTGCTGCATCATCTATTTTTCATTTCTTTTTTTCCTTTTTTACTTCTGGAGACAGAAGGTCTCACAATGTTGGCCAGGCTGGTCTCGAACTCCTGGCCTCAAGCAATTCTCCCGTCTTGGCCTCCCAAAGTGGTAGGATTACAAGCATGAACCGCCATGCCTGGCCTACATCGTCTATTTTTTAAGAGAAGTCTGGAATCTGGCTATTTTTGTTAAATTGTATAATTTGTAAATAATGGCAATGAACACAATATTTTAAAAGCTGTGCAGGCTGGACAGGCTGCTCCAAAGGTTGACTGCCTCTAAGGAAGAGTGGCTGAAGCCCCTCCATTCCACCATGCACCCCAACATGTGGTCTCTGGGGTTAGGACGAGAACCACCATGAAGCCCCTCGCCCATTGCTGAGGGGCTGCCCCTCTCTGCTCTGAGAGCTGTGCCCTTTCCAGGTGTGTGTCTCAGGGCTTTGAGCCCTGAGAAGAGCTCCCAGGACCACTGAGTTCTGGCCTTGGTGTTCAAGGGCAAAAGGAAACCAAGAGGGGCACTCACAAACCCCAGTGGCCACCCTTTTCCTCTACCATGCCCTGGCCTTGGGTCTTCAGCCTTGAGCCCAGGTTCCCCAGCTGCTCAACAACAGGGAAGGCACCCCGGGTGTGAGTTCTGAGGGGAGGTTGGAAACGGAAACGATGGAGACCTTCCCCGGCAGCCTATTCTTCCCCAGTGCCACAGAGCCAAGTCGCGGGGTCTCGGGGCGCGCGGGTGGAGTTAAGCAGGGAGTGTTATCAACTTCCCAGGCGGGCGCGGCTGGAGGAGCCCCGCTGGCCGCCCGCGTGGCTATGCCAGGACAGAACTGTTATGGTCTCTGGGGCTGCGAGCGCCGAGCCCGCGAGGTCCCGGCTCGCCTCCCTCCCCTGCCCTGCTCACCAGCTGTCCCTGGAGAAGGCGCGGAAGAACCAGATTCCCGGAGCCAGAGAAGACCGCATCTTGCCCGACCGGTACCCAAGGCTGAGTCGACGGAGGAGGCTGGGGAGCTGGGCGCGTGTCCCGGAGGGGACTGGCTGTCAGCAGGGTTTAAATGCCCCGCCGGCCGGCCCGCCCTGGCCCCGCGACCGGAGCACGGAGCGCCCGCCCCCTTGCGCCTGACCGCCCTTGGGGTCGGGTCCAGCGCAAACCCGCAGGTCATCCCCACCCAGCCCCGCCGCTGGCACCACAGCACTCTTGTGCTTTGCCTCCCGGCCAGGGCCTGACAGCTCCTGTGCGGGGGCTCCTCTTTCCGCCCTGCATTTTCTGCATTTTCTGCCTCACCACCCGCTGGGGAACCGAAAGCAGCAATGGTGGCGCTGTCCGGGACGACCTGCCCGCCTGCCTGCACTGCCCTGCAGCCCTTCCTGTCCTGAGAACCCGTGGGCTCCGACACGGGCAGACACGAGACACTGGAGGGCTGGAACTCACACCCAGTGACCCCGTATGACACCAGTCTCGGTACTCGTGCCTTCTGGGAGCGCGGTTTTTCCGTGGGCCCAGAGGTGGTGGTTGGACAATATTTGGCCCCAAACACACCACAGGCTCAGGCTGGGGCTTCCTACCCTGCTCGGATTCTCCAGGACCCCACTCTACCAGCCCTTCACAGACACCGGCCCCCGCGCCCTCCCACCATGTCAATGTGGCAGTCACTCCTGATCTCCCTTTTGGAGGCAAGCAGTCAGGCAGGTGGTGGTGGTGTGGGCACTAGGCAGGAACTTCTGTGGTCCTGAAAGCGACAGCCGCTAGTCTGAAGATTTCAGGGTATGTTTCCACCGATAATTGTGAGATACTTCTATATGAACCCAAGGGTGAACTACAGAGGGCTGGAAAGGGAAGTATTTTCCCAAAGAATAAAGTCAATAGAACATAAAATAGGAGTGTCCGAGCAAATGGGTTTCAGCCCTAACCCCACCCTGCCCCTAACTCCTAGGAGTGTCCAGGCCCTACGTGCAAGGTCAAGGAAGTGGAGCAACAACTCCACCAAACAGGTTAGGACCCAGAATAATGGGCTTGGCTGGTACCAGCCCTAGAATCAAGAATAAGAGGGTAAGCAGAGTTGTAAAAGCCTCTGTTAATGCCAGGCAGTCAGGGGCATAGGTCTAGTGGCAGAAATGAAGAGGGCAACATGCCAATGACAAGAGGTAAAGTAATAGAGAAAATAAAGGCAATAAATAGAAGGGAGGCCCAAATAGGGTGCAGAGGCTTGAAACACCAAAGGACCAGTGTCACTAGCAGTGGCTCACTAAATGAAACCCTTGATTAGACCCCTCGCTGTGTCCGGGGGGTAGGTTCATTTCATTCTTACAAGTCAGTTAGGTGGCTATTATCCACCTAGGTAAGGTGACTTTATGTCCTGGTTTGCCTGGGACAGGAGACACCTACTGTCCCAGATGGAGCCATTCTAGGGTCAATAATCACAGGTACTCCACGTTATGGTACTCCTTTAAGGGGCGGTAAAGAAACTAGAGGGGTGAGCTGATATCCCTAGGAAGGGAATTATTTCTATGCTGCTTATTTCTGAGGGACTAAAGGGAAGGATACAATTGGAATTCAGTTGAGCCAAGGAAGCAGCTGAAGTTCCTTGATGCTACATTTGAGGAGCAGGTGGACATCACCAGAGGAATGGAAGAGACCATCTCCAGGGCTTCAGAGGTGCTGTCTAGACTTCAGCAATGTGGAACATCTGTCTTTCCATTTCAGACTGACAGAAGCCAAGAATAAGGGTCACTCCTGCTCATTTGTCAGGAAGCTGTGTTCCTGCCTCTCAGGGGACCATGCCTACCTGAGGCTGGGACTCTCAGAAAGGCATTAGGAACATGCCCTCATGGTAGTACAGCTGTTGTTCACAGTGCACCAAGTAGCTGGGAGCAGGGCCAGTACTGAAACAGACCTTGCCTTGTCCCAGTTACTTCTGTGAATTCCAGCCATGTATCCCTGTTCAGGGGCCAGGGTGGCAGTGGGAACAGTCCTACCAACGTTGGAACTACTCCTCACTCACTCCTGTGGTGAGCTGGACAATCTCTTTGCTTTCTGCTGCTTAGGGGAGTGACAAAGAGGGATATTGTGGCTCAGGGAGTCCCTTCACTCACCTACACAACCTCACCACTCTCGACTCACCTTTTATTGTCTGACACCCCTCCCATACACCACCTCCTCAAATCCTGCAGAATGTGGACAGGATCTGAAGAAAATAAAGAGGGAGGGGAGGAGCTACTGAATCAAATGCTAAAGGAAAAGATCCTCAGCTCTTACATGGATAGCCTTATAATTTGTCAAAAATGCTTTCCATGGTTCAGTATGAGACACTTGTGAGAAAGGAGCCATTTTACCCATCAAATACCAGTCCCTACTGCTAACAAGTTCCAGGACCACCCACAGGACTGTTAGGGTAGCCAGTTAGTGTTTTAGGCCCTTTAAGACATGACAACAAGTGTCCTCCCTGTTTTTTTCAAAGGAACTGAAGGACCTGAATGTTTAAGAAAGTCTATGAGGACAAATGCCATGAGAACAAACCACTGGATAACAGAACTCCAAAATTTTATCACATCCACAAACATCATTTTTTGAACATGCTTCCCTCCTTCCAGTCTGTCTTACTGAACAGAGAAAAGTATAATTTTTGGTAATACAATCAAGACACAGAGTCTTGATTGAGGGGGTAAGAGTTGGGATATTAGGATAAACTGTAATTATTCAATCTTTTAAATATTCATTTTCATATTAGGCCTTTTTATTGAGAGGCAGAATGGTAAAAAGAACACGGGCTTGGAGTCAGAGCCAAGTCTGGCCAAGATGCTTACTACTCCACTAACCCTCAGTTCCCTCCTCTGTAAAATGAATGTAACACCACCTACCTTACGGAGTGTTGTAATAATCAAACATTTGTGCATATAAAAAGTGTAACAGTGCCTGGCTGTATTAAGTAGCTTTGGCAAATGGAGCAATTATTATGTGTGCAGGAACTAACATATACGATATTAGGGTCAGATATTGACTGCAGGTGAGAGAAACGAATGACCATCATAAATGAGAACAAAATGTAGGAGTTAAAGGATCAGAATTCTTAAAAACGATCAGTGGGTATAATAGAATATATTTTTGACCTGCAAAATCCTTAATATCATGTGCTTGTGTGTTGTGTGTATATCTGTGTGTGTACATACATACAACTTAACCCACTGAGTTACTGTAAGCTTTATGGTAATACGTGTTGAATAATTTGGGGTTGACAAGGATGTATGTATGGCTTGAGTAGAGTGTCATAAAAATGAAAGAAGTTATTATCTTAAATATGTCAGATGCTGAACTCTATGTGTTACTACTAAATTATTCCCAGCTAACACAGTCAACAGATAGATAAGCAAGGTGATGAAAGGTATTGAAAAAGATTTTATTTCTCAATAGAAGTCAAAATTCTGGAATGCTTAGCAAAGACCATCCAGCTTCAATCTACTGAAGACTAGATTGATGGTACATAATGGCCTGAAGACTGGGCTTTGGAGACCTATCAGCCAACCAACAGGGCAGCCCTGCTTTCAAATGGTCAATCTCCTTAGGATACCAGTGGTGAGAGCAAGTATATAAAAAGACAGCCTGACAGTTGGTAGTCCTTAGGAAGAGAGAAGGATGGAGAAATGTTTTCTCCATGTTTAGAGGAAAAATTAAAAGGAATAAATGTAATGACAAAAGAGGTAGTCTCAGCCTAGTCACACAGCTGGGGACAATTTTTAGTTGTTCTAGTATCTGAAAGTAGGCATTCATTTACTTGCTTAATAAACATTTGTTGCTTATAATCTCAGCACTTTGGGAGGCCAAGGCGAATGGATCACCTGAGGTCAGGAGTTCGAAACCAGCCTGGCTAACATGGCAAAACCCCGTCTCTACTAATAATCCAAAAATTAGCCAGGCGTGTTGGCATGTGCCTGTAATCCCAGCTACTTGGGAGGCTGAGGCAGCAGAATCGCTTGAACCTGGGAGGCAGAGGTTACAATGAACCGAGATTGCGCCACTGCACTCCAGCCTAGGAGACACAGCAAGACTTCATCTCAAAAAATAAATTAATAAACAAACATTTGTCAAGTGCCAACTATGTGCCAGGCACAGTGCTATGTGCTGAGGATATATTAATGAAAAAGACAGGCACAGTCCCTAATCCCAAAGAATCTACAGTCGAATGAGTCAGAGATGTACAGAGACAATCCCACTTCAAACAGCTTGGTAGAAGAGATTAACTCAAACAAGAAATAGGTTATAGAAGTATGTTCATGCTGATACCGGGGCACTGATCACATAACTCCAGGAGAGTCTCAGAAGGCTTCACTGTAGACAATATAAGAACTAGGTTTGAAGAACGGTGAAGTGTATGCCACGTGAAGAGGAAAAGGTGGAACCAGAAAATTGCATGTGTAGAATAAGGAACCATGAAAAAGGATGGTACATTGAAGAAATGGTGCATGAGACATTCTTTGTAGCTGGCGAGTATGTGTGCATGGTGGGGAGCTGCAGAAGATATGACTATTATTACTCGTGGTAAGGTAGTGAAGAGCGTTCAGTGTCGACATTAAGGGGTGGGAATTGTATTCTTTGGATAGTTAGGTGCTATAAGACAGCTTTAGAAGGGTAAAGACAGGATCAGATTTATGTTTTCAGAGGAAAAATGGCCATTTAATGGGGCTTTGTCAGACTTCCAGCTCTGGATGAAGATAGAAGAGATACACATCTCTCTATTCTTGCTAAGTACTGTTAAAAACCATGGACATTATATAGAAAGCAAGCATCAGAAAACTCTGAAAAGTGGAGAGAAGACACATCAGGGAGGGACCTTGAGATCTGAGGAAAGACACAGTGGTGAGTTATCTGGGTTTGCTTTTGGCTTCATATATCCTGGACTGGGTGCTGAAGAAGCCAGCAAATCCAGAAGCACCAATGACACAGACAGAACACCAAAGCTCTAAGAAACCCTGGCTCTATCTAGCTATAAGACCCAGGAAGGGGCAGCCTAGCAATAACCACCCTGCTCCAGCTAAACCTCACAGAAAACACTGCAGCCCCACCCCATCTTATCAGCAAAGGCCAATGGGGAACCTAGACTTTCACTTGCACCCGACTGTAATGAGGGGTGCCCCCTCCACCCACTGCCTGGCTGGTATCAGAGAACTCCAAGTGGGAAGGCAGGACTTTCACCACCTTCCAAAGATAAACAGCACTCCACCCCCACCACTAAGGTGTCATTGGAGGTCACATGGGGAACCGAAAGGAGCCCATACAGGGCAATATCAATGGAGGCCTAGTGGAGAGCCA